CCCCTCCAGGGCACCGCGAGGGGCAGAGCCCGGCACACCCCCCCTGCTTGCGGCAGGACCCGGAGTGTCGGGCTGTCGGCCCGGCCAACCCAGCGCGCGCGGGATTGTCATTTAACTTCTCCATCCCTCGTTCCCACCCAAGCAGGAGTGCGGGCCCGCGGGGGTCTCCCCGGGCGGGGAGCCGGTGGCGGACGCGGGCGGTGGCTGGAGGGCTGGTCCCGGTGGGACAGGAAGGCGCTTGGCCCCGGTGGAGATCGCAGCGAGGAAGGAAGATGGATCTGTTTTGCAAAGGGTGTTGGCTTTTTGGCAGTGGGGGCTTATTGTAAGCGTCGATTCCCCTGGCATGTTGTGGTGGTTATCAAGGGACAGCTGTGATTTTTCTCACTGTCTCCACCTCTGTTTTAAACCCAGGTTTGAAAGTGTGGTGGTAACTAGCCTTTTATATATAGCTTACTATGAGGAACAGAAGTTGAGTCATCTGTCTTAACATCCTGCTTTGAGTACTTTGGGAGTAGCTTTGCTGTGAGCATGACCTCTAACAAAGCGGAGGAGAAGAGCTAGACATAGCTGCCCACAAGTTGTCCATCCTTGCCCCGGGAAGTCAGACTGGTGAATGCCCTGAGTGCGTTGCACACTACCTGGGAGGTGAAGCCTTTTCACCCTATGGATAGAGACGTTGTAGTAGAAACTTTAGGCAGGGGAAAGATCTGGCCAGTCAGTCCAACTAAGTTAGCAGGGAGGAGGTAGAACCTGCCTTGGTCGGTCTTTCCATTTTTGCTTTCAAAGTCTAGGGATAATGTTGTGATATGTAGCCACTCCCTGGAGGTACCTTCTAGGAGTGGCCAGTTAGGAAGAAACACAGCCTGAGAGACTTCTTTTAGACTTGTGGTATGTTTGTAGTATTTTCTGGGAATGTTTGAAGTTACCAAAACTGTTAGAGGGTATCGGATGCTAAATTTGCAATCTGGGGGGGGTGGTGGTGGTGGTGGGACGGGCAGAAAAGGACAATTCTCAACGCTTTGTAGCTTAGCCCTCTTTGTCTGTATTCCATCTTGCTATGGTGCCATGTGGGCAGGAATTGGCAATCCGTGACTCCGGGCAATTTAGTAATTTTAATTCAGTTAAGTGTTGCCCAGACATATACCAACCAGAGCTTTTGGGACAAGCATATTACTACACTGATTTTTCTCCTCCCTCCTTATGGCTGTGTCCAAGAGGATGAAATGGTCAGCAGTTCAGGAGGAGCTGGCTCCTTTAAGGAGGCTACAGCCACATTGGGTACTGGTTGTCAGGCTTTATTTTTGTAGGGGTCTCACATGTAGGTCTGGTGCTTGCCACCTTCAGAATGTGCCCCTGGATCATCTGTTCCTTCTGATCTCGAGAGTCAGCAAAGGCCAGATAGGCAAGGGGAAGTGTGGAGTCATCAACACTGATGTTTGCTTGACTGTATTTTGCAGTCTATCAATACAAATTGCCTTAGTTTCCAACTGAAGTGTGTTTTTTTTTTTGTGGCAGAGCTATATGCGGATGGTAGGAGAAAATAAGCAGCTTATCCAATGGTGGATTATTTCATTTAGGGAATCTCTTTGTACTGATGCCAGGGAAGAGGATTAGTGGTGACCTGTAATGGGTATGGTAAGGAAAAGCTTCAGAGATTGCTACAGCTGCTGTGACCGCTCTTGGATGCTGAGCCTTTCTCGGTGGCATGGTGCCCTCCTATTTTTCTGTCACATGATATGGATGTATTTTGTAGCAAATAGCAATCGCATCTGACTTTATGTGGCCGTTAGTGCTGATTAAGGGCTGGAGGCCTGGCATTTTGTTTAGGTGGGGTTTGTCTTTTGTTCCTAGTTTTCTCTGTAAAATTAGCTGTGCTTAGTTTTTTTCCTTAAGCCCATCCAAGCCTCCTGACTTCTCCTGAATTCAACTGAAAGCATTGGTTCATAAATACCCTTCTTATTCTGCTCAGAGAAGGAGAATTGGCTAGTGAGTGTGTATTGACTTAGCTGCTATTAATTTTATAGTGCTTTACTTTTTTTTAAAATGTTTTTTAAGTACAGAATGCGTAAAGATTTAGGAAATTGTCTGGGTGGCCTGATTCATCTTCATGCTTAATATCTAACTTTGACTTGTATTCAAAGTTCAAGTTGAAGTCTGTGGCTGAAAATGACAAAGATGTTTTCCAGGAGCTGAAGTCTAGCGGCTGAGATGGTGACAGGAGATTGTAATACTTAGATTTGATTATCTGTGAACAGGATATGCTTAGTGAAGAGTTCCCCCTGGGTTTTAGTTCTTGTTTGTCCTGTTACAGTTAACTGCCCGTTATTCATGCAGACTCTTCTGAAGGGTTGAGTTGAGTGTTATCTCTACGAAAAAGGGCAGATAAATCATGTTCGTTGTAGGAGCTGATTCATAAGAAATGTAAATCAGCATGGATAGTTAGGGCTGATGCAACCAGTTCTGTGGAAGCCAGGGAAGCTGTGCCAGTTCATGTCAGCAGCAAAGCCCTCTGCCTGACCAGTGCTGCGCTCCTGTACCAATGGACAAGGTGGGCTTGTCTCCACTTTCTACAGTGCCTAGCCATCTCTGCAGGTGGCCCCATGAACCTGGCTGGAGTGCCCATCAGCAGTAGCACATCTAGAAGCAGCATCAGGCAGGGAGTTAGATGCTTTATTCTAAGTATGTGTCTGTATAGGAAACAGCAGCAAAGTAGCCCTTTAAGCCATTCTCCAGAGAGGTGTATTTTCAGAGAGGAATGATGAGATAGATGTGTTAGCTGTCTGTTGCAGGGCTCTGTCTTTATGTGAGGTGGTGAATGTGAGCTGTTCGTTCTCATGCAAGACAGGAACGAAGACAGGCGTTGCTGTCCTTGTTGCTTGGCTGTGCACTCTTCTACATCTGTTATTTAGTCCGTGGTCATTTTCTCAATGTTTCGGATGATATAGAGAAGCTACTGTTTTTATTCATAAAGCAGTGGTTGAAAAGTTCACAAAAACAACCTCCTTATTTTTCTTCTGACTTCCACCCCTTCTCTCTTACACGCCCCTCACAGCCATCGGCCTTCATTTTGCTCGGCCCGGAGTTGCAGTTACTGAAGGCAGTGTGAGATGACACAGCTGAAAGTTCCCAGCCGTAGTCTAGTGCTGAAGTATTAGTCAGCACGGCATGAAGATTCACTTCTTTCCAGGTAGCTTTCACCCATAGTAATGTTTCTTGCTTCTTGAATGACTAGGACAACAGGGGTAACATCTGCCCTTGGTTGCACGGTGTCCTAATTTCCTATCTAGCATACAATGTTGCTTCAACATGCACAAATGCAAACTTCTGGATTTTTCCTCCTTTGCCGACAGCAATCTAAGAAGCCTCATTTTTGCAACTAGTGTTTCTTGATATCTTTAATTTATAATGTCTAAGCTTAATGACTGTGACTGGAATTTAAGCTTTTATCTTCTCTTGAGAGCATATATTTGATGCAGAAATAATGTCCTGGGGTCTAAATTTCTGGAGTCTACAGTAGTGGTAGTGTGATTTGAGATTTATGTTGCAGATAGGAAATACCAGATAGCAATTTAAAAATATCAGACAGGCTTTTTTCCTTTTTTTTTTTTTTTTTTTAAGCTTATGTTGAGGGAGCTGGCTGGGGTGATACGGTTGGTGAAGCTTGTTCATAAGTTGACTCTCTTTTGCTTTAGAGCATGTTTTTTGTTTGTAGAATTTGGTTGTTGGCCATGGCCCTTAGGTCTGCTCTTTGGAGCAGCTACCTGCTTCTGATTCTTAGCCTGTGATGCTGGCCTTTGGGCTGCACTTCTAGCAGAGTCATCAAGTGTGCTTTAAATAACAAACCAGTCCATGAAACTGTGAGTCTTGTGCATGCGGAAAGGGACAGCAGAATGTTGTAAGGGTTCTTTTCCCTGCTTGATACCCTGGCATTGGAAACTGCCCCACTGTTTTTTTTGGTGCCTTTGTGTGAATGTTGAATTTGTACAGATGAAAACTAAAGAGGCAGGGAAAGGGGAGAAAGCTGTCTGAGCTATTATAGGAAACTTACAGGTGCCTGTTTGTGCCAGACTAAAGAACCATTTTTTTGTCTAGCTGGTGTTGTCATGCAGCCCTTAATTTGTAAGCAGTTGAAGATACAGCAAGGGTCCCTGAGAAGTGGTCTTTTGATATCGGTGGCAGAATTGAGTCCCGTGGTTAGAGCTGATATGAAACAGCAGGGAGAGAGAGAGATCACCCAGCGAAGCTGAGGGAGGAATGTTTGCACAAAGCTGCAGGGAGTGTAAGAAGTGCTGCAGCCTTTCTGTTTTCTGCAAGGCTAGATAAATAGCAGTGAACATGATGGTTTTATCGAATGAAGGCCTTGGAGTTAAGGCAGATCAGAAGTTATTTTGCAGGCCCTTTTGCCAGCCTGCTAACCTTTGCGCGGTAAGCCGGATTGCCTTTCAGCAGGAAGGCTGCAGTGAAATGGAGACTGGGGTGCTAATCCCCGATGAAAAGTCCTTCATGACTTTCGGAACTTCACGGCTGCCGGACCGAGAAAAATGGGTGGAGTTTTCCCTTTAAATAGCTGTGCCCGAGAGACTGTTGCTGCTGTTGTGGTGACACTTGGGTGTTGCTAAGGCTTTAGGAAGTCAGTGCTGACATATCTGTATTGGTGGTATGCTCTGCATGCACCGAAGAGAAATGGATTGTACGGTCTCACTGCCACAGTTTGGGTCTCTTCAAAGGGTGTGGGTCAGAAACTTCAGGTGGCAGAGAATGAATTTCTTGGCCAAGAAAGTGTGTATGTGGTGTAGCCCGGCGGTTTTTCATGTCCTTACAGCTTCTCCACCTTGGGAGGGTTGTGAGAGGGTGGGAAGGGTAGCACTGCGGTGTCACCTGCCTCTCTGTATGTGTGCGTGCATGCGTCCTCAGCCTGCACAGGCTGGTCCCCAGGCTGACCTTGGAACTCCCCAGTTAAAGGAAGCCCTGTAACTGAGACCCGGGCAGGCTTCTGGGAGGGTTGGGGTGAATGGTTAGATCTGGGAGAGAAACATGCAATTGGAGCATTTGCGTCAGTTCTCTTTCTGTGTGAATGCACAACTTGTCCTTTGCAGTGATTTCCTCTATTGAAGAGCTCCACAGTGCTGCAGCCCTGAATTGCACGGCTTTGCACTTCAAAAGACTTCAAGGATGTTTTGCAGTGCTTTGTCCAGCTTGCTTTGCAACTTTAGGCAAATCACCTTTTCTGTAAGAAGCTTCATCATTAGTTAAATGAGGGTGACTCTTATCCTGCTGCTGGGGGGGGGAAGGACAGGGGGAGGGGTGCACTTCGAGGCCCACTTCATATTTGTAAACCACTTTTGCTATCCTTGCAGAGCCTCCATTATGTGAGAGTCCGCATGACTAACAACCCCCGGCTGTCAGCGAGTGCTCTCAAACCACGGTGTGCCTAGAGCTGTGTAGCTGCAGAAGGTTGCAAAGAGGCACAAAATGTTGTCTGCCTTTTAGACTCTATTTGACAACAGTCTGCTAAAGTAGTATGTTCCATCCTGTATGCAAATCGAACTTTGTCAAATTGTCTTACCACAAGATATCTATATTTGATACTATATTTCTTTCTCACAGATTCTGCCTGGCTTGTTCATTGGCAACTTTAAAGGTAAGATTAGTTTAATCATTATCTCTAGGATTACTTAGCATGGGTCTTAAGGTGTTTCGCAGGCCTACGGAATTCTCTGATATCTCTGCAGCTGCTTTAACACTATCTTGCTTCATTTCTGGATTCACCTGGTAGCACTTAAAGAAGAACTTGTTTGCCCTCTTATCCATGTGCTGTGCTGCAAGTACTTTAAGTAAAGAAAAATGAACGCCATCTCCTTGGAGCGTGCTTCAGCTGGAATTCCTAAACATTGGCCTGCCTTAAATGATTCCTGTGCTTGGCAGGCAAGCCTGTGAGCCAGGCAGATTCTTTTTAAGGCTTATTTCAAGCCCTCCTTATAACTAAAGGTTTAGTATGCCTCCCGTTTGTTGCTTTCATTATTTTGGTTATTTATAATAACTGCTAAAGAGTTTCTGTAATCACTGCTTGCAAGACTGATAGGTCTGCAGATTGCTGTCTGACCACTGATACTCGCTTTGTTTGTGTCGCGGATGTAAGATTCTCTGGACTTTTTTTCCTTTTTGCATGAGGCTTATTTTTTGTGTACAGGAAGACAGGACCATTTTTAGAAAACACAGGAAACTTTTATGTTGACATCCAAATAAATGACCTGTTCCCAAAGCACCCTGTTAGCAGCAGTTCCTGCTGACCGTCCCTACTCAGAAGTAAACCAGTTGTGTCTGTACAGTCGATTTGATACATGTAGACCCTGTATTTCCTATGCTTGGGTAAAACAGCAGGACAGGACCTGCAGGCACTGCTGTGATATCCTGTCCTTCCTGATCTGTCTGATATCACAGCTGGTCTGTTAAGATTGGACAATGCCTCCACTGGATTTAGATGGTGCGGCACCTCTTCTGTGCCTCATGCCCACCCTTCCTTCCCTACCCCCATCCTGAAACCTGTGGGTTTGGCCTGATTTACATGCTTCTGGACCTGCTGACCCCTGTTGCTGGTCCAGTGCTTGCTGCCCCTTTGGAAGTGGAGCCGATCACCTTGAGACACAGTCTGGAGGTACATGTGAAGCTAAAAGCTGCCTTTTACTGCACTGGGATGCAAACACAAGTACAACAGCTAGGGTGTGAGAGGGAATTAATGGCATGGTAAAGAAAATGAAAGGGTGGAGGTGAGTTTATACTGGTGGAAGTAGGTAATCAAAGAATTAAAAAGAAAGCAAGCAGAAAAAAAGGAAAATAAGGAGAAGATGCTTTGGACAGACCGATGCATGGGCTGGTGACAAAACTAAATAACTTGGTCACAGCTGTGTTGCTTCCTCTTTTTATTTTCTTTTTTTTTCTTTTCCGTCAAGTAATTTAGGAGAGGGGTGGGATGGGAGGGTGTTTGATAGCAGAGTCCTTTAACTTTCAAGCTGTCTGGCAGGTTGGGCAGGATGGGCCCAGGGAACGTGGCTCTCAATCTGTCCCTCCAGCTGTGGCCATCCTGCTGGTAAGGCCTTGACAGTCCGCCCTGGGGAGCGAAACCCAGCCAAAGCATCTGTTTCATGGTGCAGTTCTGTTTTCAGCCGATGAACAGTTTGACCAGCTGAGGGGAGTTGGCCAAGGTTGCGGAGTGAGTCAGCATCTCTGCTGATGCCAGGGCCTGCGACCCTCTCCCTCGCGCTGCTCTGGCCACTCAGCTGTGCGCCTTGCAAATGGTCCTTAAATGGTACGACAGGTCACTTCTATGCATAGACCAGAGGCATGCACATGAAGGTGCTGTGAGTGGGCAGTCTTTCAGGGAATCTAGCTCCATAAAAGAGAGGAAGGACCTCCATAGAAGACAGTAAGGACGGCTTAGCTTTAGTCTCTGTTTATCTTATGGAGTCTGTTTTTTAAATTGACTAAAAACACCAAACGTTTGTTTATTGCTATGACCTTTGATTACATTACATTTAATCATTATGTTCTACCATAGTGGGTATCTGTTATAATCTCAAGTTAGCTACCGTACCTGGAGAGGAAGAGAGAAGATTGGTGTTACAGTGCTTCACTAATTCAAAAGCAAACTTTTATTATTCTTTTTCTGCATCCTCTGCCCTTAACACCCACCCTGCCTCACTGCTTTCAAGCTCTCTGTGCAGTGAAGTCATCCCATTTAGGGACAGGCTGTTGGTTAATCACCAGTGTATTTTTCTGGAGGATTTTGACTACTGTGTTTTTGGGGCATGTTCTGATTTGTGGCACTTTTTGAAAAAGTGACTAATGAATTTTGAGACTGCCATAAGGGGATCGTTGACTGAGAAATACTCAGTAGCATATACAGTTGGGATTGATTAGGGTATCCTGATATGGGCAGCTGAAATGTCTAGATACTTTTAAAGACGTGGGTTTACAAAATTATTTCCTGTAATGTATTTTTGAACAGTCTCCTATTTCTTCAGCTTGAGACTGAAAGCTTGAATTGAATAAAGTTGCATCTTGTCAGTAGGAGGAGTAACACTGAAACCCTGGCATTGTGCATCTTGCCTGGACACAGAGCTCAGACTTTGTGGTACCCTCCAGGTCTCTGTGTAGGGGGTAGAGAGGAGGGAACTTCTCCAGAAGACGAGTCAGGGGAGTCTCTGAATTGCTCTGATCTGCCCTCTGGAGGATAGTCTCCCCTCCCTTCTCCAGTGAGCCTGGGCAGGCAGGGTTTCCATAGCTAGGTAGAAATACCGTTCTAGGCACACTCCTGTCTCCCTGCTGTTTGGCAGACCTCTGGGGACACGGACAGACTGGGAAGAGGCACAGTTGTTTCAGATGGGCGCCTTCCTGATGAATGAACGCAAGGTGTTAAAGATGTTAAGCACTGTAATCCTGGAGGGCTGTTGTCTGGAGAAGGCATTCAGCAATTGTTCCAGTTGGATAATTATTATTCAATACTCAGCGATATTTCTACTTGATGTATAGGGTTTCTTTTCTTAGGCCATATCAACTTAAAAACAATCCATGACAGAGGAAGTGTAAACTCCTCCTCATTTGACTGGGAGATAGACTGAGGCCCAAGAAAGACTTGTGAAATAAATCTGTGGCAGAAATGGGAGTTGAACTTGCTGCTTCTGGTTTGGCTGCTGCTGCTGCGCAAACCTGTAGGCAATGAGAGGGACTTTTGTAACCACCTTAGGGTCTTTAGGGTTGAAAGTTATGTGTAGTCCTGATTACAGAAAGCACTGAAGTACATGCTGAAATCCCCCTAAGTCCCCAGGACTTTAGTATGTCTCTGGAAAACTTTCCTGAAGAAGTATAGATTTTGGCATGTGCTTAACTGCTTGTTATCTTACAAGATCTGATTTTGCTCATCAATAGCACATTAAAATTGTGGTATGTCTCTGAGAGAGTGTATTTGAGATTGCACAGCTAGAGGGCAGAAAAAATCAAGAACCACAGATGTCCATACAAAATACCAAGACAGTTTGGTCTGAAAGCTGGGAAGGAAGCAGAGCTCTTGGACTTCTTCAGTGATAGTGAAGGAGTTATTTCTTTGCAAATGGGAGGGTGGGGGGCCAAGAGAAAAAGATGAGGGAAGAGGATGAGGAAGTTAACTCTTCCCACCTCTAGTTTAGGGAAAATCTTGGTTTGTTACAAAGGAAATTCAATCCCCTCAAAAGACAAAGAATTTATTGTGGGATTGCATGCCCACATGTCTTATGCACTGGAAACCTGAGGTTCCTTGAAAAGCACCCATGCTCACGATGAAAATAGGTGCTTTGTTCCTTAAGGGACTGATATGACAGGGCTTTTTAGCCTGTTTTTCTGCACAAATAGAGAAAATACCATTTATTCTGATAGGAGGTTCTAAATAGGTGCTTGTTTGATTCCAAACCAAAAGGTATAGCAGTAGCAAGCACCAGAGACTTGAGTGTTTCTACCTTGAATATTAAAGAGCTCGTGTCCTTCCTTGCTTGTAATCATATTTGGAAGATTCAGGTCTTTCCAATGGAATATTTGGGGGCTTTTTGATTTGAAGGGGAAAGCCACAATTTGAGGTTTAATTCCCCCCAAAGAGTCCGGTGTTGCTGTAGATGATCAGGAGAGTCTTGGGAAAGTTTCTACCCTTCCCATTACTAAATATATAAAAAGGCTGTGCTCACCAAGTGGTTCTGCTGTGTTTATAGATCCAATCAATTCTGTTATCAGCTGCTTATTTTTTTTGGGGAAAAGTTTCCTTTTCTAAGTCTTTATTTCAGGTACTGAAAACAGGAGAGGGTGAAGATACTGTTCCCTTTTTCAGGTGGCTCTTTTGAAGGAGAACATTTTATAGGTGCTGTCATGAAACAGAGCACTGAACCATATTCCCCATCTTTCTCACTCTCCAGAAAGGTCCTTCTGAGAGGCTGGGACAAAATATGGAATGCAGTTTGAAGTGGGGACAGGCGATGTGAAGTTTTTGTTCATGTGCTTAGTTTCTCTGTGTGTGTGTGTGTGTGTGTGTGTGTGTGTCTTTAAGTGGGGATCACTAAATGCTGGAACAAAGCTCTCCTGATGGGAAACCATTCTCAGTAGTAGCTCTTAGTGCTCTGAATCACTGGAGAGGAGGTTCTCCTTTAGGTGTCTCTCTCTCAAGCAGAAAATAAAGTATAGACAAAAAGTTGCTTTATTTTAAAAAGATAAGTACTTTGGGTGATGATGAAACCGTAGTCTCTATACATTTGCAGATTGAGATTTTATTCTGTTGTAAATACTGGTCTGACTTGTCTTCTCTAAATACTTACCTTGTTTTTGTATGAATAACAAAATTTTATACTGAGAGCTTAATACTCACTAGCTTACTGTGTTATAGAAGCTTGTCTTCAGACTAACAGCAGTGTCAGAAATGTGAGCTTTGGAGGAGGAAGAAGGGAGGATGCCTTTAGTTTGGGATAACTGGCTAATGGGAGGAAAGGTGACAAAATGAAAATAAACTAGTCTCACTTATCTTGTGGAGATGTTTAAATCTTCTAAATTCACAAGTGAGTTGCCGTTAAATGTTGCAGGTCAGACCCATGTCACTGTAATTCTTTTTTCCCCTGTTCCTGGCAGGATGAATTTGTGTTTTGGTGTTAGCAGTAAGAGGTGGAAAAGACCCTACAGCTTTTTCTTCCCATCTAACACTACAAAGGGGAGAAGTCTTAATTCCTCACCTTGCATCTCTATGGAGGTACTAAAAACCACAATGGTTGTATGTACATTTGAGACTTCATCATCCTAGTATTGGGTGTCCTTCACTCATTGATGTGGCTTAGTTGGAATGGTTGGAGCAGTATTGTCTCCCTTTTGTGTATGGGGAATGGAAGCACAGTATGCAAGGTGATTTGCTCCCCAGCCACACAGTAAGGCTTCCAGAGCTGCAGGGAAACAAATTCTGACACATATAACCCACCTTCCAGTCCCCAGTGGAACTGCCCCCAGTCCCATTTTGATGACTTTGCTATTGCTTTTGCAATTAAGTGTTTGCAGGTCTCTGCATATGAAGAGATTAAGCTAGGAGTCATAGAATGAAATTGAGGGAAAAGCACTAAATATGGGTGTGGGAGGGAGAGAGGAAGACTTCCCCACTGTGAACTGTGTGTGCCCTTTTGTGTGAGGGAGTTACCTGAAAGCTTTACTCGAAGTCCACATCAGCTGAGAAGTGTTTTACTGTATGAAATGGAGTATTAGGTATTACTATGAAGAATAATGCTGCATTTTGGGGGACTTATAGGGGTGCACAAGATGGAATCTGATAGGTTTCTTTCATATTTAAATTTGGAAATGGGGTTCTTTCACACTGATTTCAAAATGTGAGCCTGCCTGTGGCTGTACAGCACTGTACTACAGTAAAAAAGTTGGAATTTCTGTGGTAAAGGTGATTCTTCTGGCTTTTGGTGGTCCTTTACAAAACCCCTTAATTTTTTAGTAATTCATGGTATGAGACAGTGAGTGACAGGATATCTCATTTGTACCACTGTTTAAATAGCTTTGTCTGTAGTATCTGTAGAGACTTACAGCAGGTGCTGGGGGAACCAGGGGAATTTCCCCTTTGTAAACTGTTTAAAATTTAGATCCAGAATATTTAGATCATTGACTGGGAGGCTTTTTCTCCTCTACTTTTGTAGTTTGAATGGTTGTTTCCTAAATATATTGAGGATCTGGTGGTTACCCTGGGATTTAGATCTGGGATAGCCATTTCCAGCTTGTTTCTAGGAATATCTGACGTCTCATTGTCTTACTCTGTAGTTCTGATTTGTTGAAACTCTTTTAGTCTAAGCCCTTGCTTAACTGAAGAACTAAAATCTTTCAGTCCTTTTGAGTTGTACTGTGTCCATTAGGCCTTTCAGAGTGGTTCAAAGCAGCCAATGTTTAATTTGGATCATTATCTCCTTTTAAAGCAGTTTGCCTTGTGTGGCAAGCCATTTCTTACCATGTGGGTCATACTGACAGAGAGTGGGGTCTTGTTTTGCTAGGTATGCATTAACACCCTGAGTTCCAGCCAGCAGGCTCTGAAATCTGCCCTTAGACTTTGGAGAACCGAAAGCAGTGATTTTTAGGGACACTTAGGCTGGATTCTGGACTTGCAAACCCTTGCCTGCTTAAATGTTTGCTGAGGAACTGTCCATAAACTGTTAAGAATCTGAAGGTCAGGTGGATTAGAAGACCTTTCCTGGCAAACATTAGCATTTCTTCTTTGAAATGCTCACGCTGAGATTTTTAGGAAATTTTAATTGTTCTGTGAAGCTAGACCTTAATTTTGTTTCAGATGGAATTTGTGTTAGTTCCCTCCTGAAGGATTAGGCATCTGTGTTGATTGTGCAGGCTTGACCAGTAGCAAGGGAAATCAGTGCAGTTTTGACTCTTCATTTTAGTAGCCTTAGAGAAGTTTTCATAATTGGATTAGGTTTAAATTTTATTGCTTGTTATTGTGCTCACATGGATCTTGTCTATGGGGTAATATAATTAAAAGTACAATTCCTCTTTGCAATATAGAAAAGGCATTGAGACTTTATATAATAGAGTGGAATAAGATGAAGCAAGAGATGCTAATTGAACTCTTGCACGTACATAAAGAATGTACAGGTGATGCTATTGTTATTTTTGTACCTAGAGAGAGCCGGTTTGAAACCTTTGTGGTCAGTGCTCTTTTTTTGTGTCCAAGTAGGCTACTGTGAACAGATTGTATGGGCAGATTTGGAAGGCAGGTGTTCACATTGCAAAACCACTGCTGTAGTTGCCATGGTGTGCTGTGCCATTCTCAAGTGAAAAGGTCAAAAGTAAATGGACAGACTAACTTTTATCTGTGTTAGTGGTTCTTTGAGGTAATTTTTTGGCATGCTAATGGTTTGGTATGGGGAAAGTTGCTTACTGATGACAGAATCTGTTTTACCTTCTTTCTCACAGAAACAAGCCTATGCTTTCTCAATATCTAGCATCAGTCATCCCAGTTTGCTTTCCAGTTTTGAATGTTTGAAACCCCTTTGTTACAGGTCTAGGAACCACCTTTTCACAACTCTACTTCCTTGCTGTAGCATTTTGCTTTTTCATATGTTAAATATCTTTATCATCTTGACCTCTCTTCAGACTTAAAATTATAGTATGTATTGGCTAAATGCACTTTTTTCCCTATTAGTCCACGGGACATAAGAATCTAGTTATTGTTTTGGGTTGCCTGTTAATACCTAAATTCAAGTGATACGGTTGACTTCACTTCTCAGACCTTGATATCGTAAGGTTTATCTCCTAAGTGAAAATACATCTCCTGAAGGGGGATTTGTGGGTAGAGAGGAGGTAAGCTATTTCTTGTACAGCTCTGACTGCTTGTTCAGATGGCCATCACCTGCACATGGGCATACACAGACTTATATTTCAGATGCAAAATACATGAAACTTCTGACTTAAGAACACATTCCTGAGTCACTTAAGCTTGTTCTTTATATAGTATATAATTTGTTTTGGAGTTAGAAGTGTGTCTTCCCGTTAGTCACTCTGATGATGGTGTTCTAGAACAGCTGCATTTGGGGTTTTGCTTTACTTTGTGAAGCTTCAAAAAGAAATGTAGCAATGATAAGTGATTTTCAACATGCACAAAGGAAAGGGGAGTGGGTATTTCAAGAGATTAAAGAAATTATCTTCCTTTTTTCCCTTTATCGCAGATGCCCGAGATGTAGAGCAATTGAGTAAGAATAACATTACGCACATTCTTTCAATCCACGACAGTGCCCGCCCTATGCTTGAGGTAAGAGGTGTGGGGGACTCCATGGTAAATCCTTACTTTGCAGTTGACTGTTATAGTCATCTTGAGATTAATTTCTTGTTCTGAACAATTGGTGTTTTAAGACTGATTTTCTCATGGAAATGTTTGACAGCTGTAGTTTTAGGATCCAGTCACAGATTTTGTGTTGCTGCTGTTACAACAACAAGAAATCTAACTGACAAAGGAAGAGACAATTACAGTGTCAATCAATATAACACAATAATGGGATTGTGTTATTAATTAAATAGTAAAGGTAAGTTTCCTTCTGTGTGGAATCAAGCATCGCATCAACAACTTCCCTTTTCCCCTCTTCCCCACAACCAACCCTCCTTGGGCCCCTTTCTTGAATCTTTGTAGCAGATGGTTGTGTAAGAGGTTTGCAGTCCTTTTCTGTTTAAAATAGCCTTATTTAAGCTTGGGGTGTGGGAGGAACTGGTGTTCCCTCATATAATACATCCAGTGTAGTAGAACATTTCCAACACTTTAACATGAAGTATTATTCCCCATTTTTCTGAAGGGAAGCTGATACAAAGAGCTGAAATTACTTGACTTGCTGTGTCATCTTCAGCAGTGAAAGAGCTGGGACCAGGCTGCAGGTTGCCTGTGTTGGACTGTTGTGCTTTACGCCAGCTTACCTTGGAAGAAGGGGACTTTGGCTGGGCCTTGCTACACCTTAAAATACTGCTATTTGGTTTATGCTGGGAACTCTTGTCACCTTCAATTTGTTTGTTATTCCCTGCATTCCACTTTTCATGAAATACGGCAAAGTAGTGGGTAAGGCAGTTGCTGGTGTTACCCCTCAGATGCTTCTGGGAATCTCTGCATTCTCTTAATGTAAAAAGTCTTTTGTGAATTCAGTCTTTAAACTGCACAGTTTCTACCTTTCCCAGACTAGTCAAAATGTAAGCTGAACAAAACGTGTCCCTAGTATGACATGATTAAAACCAAAATCAAGTTAACGGTGAATTCGGAGTTGACCTTGAACTTGGAAGTGTGCCAGAGCAGAGCTTAAGCTGTTGACTTGATTATACTGTCCATTTGACTTCTGTTGTGCATGATGCTTCTTAAGTCTGAAACCTACTGAATTTCAAGAATTCTCTTAGTTGAAGAGATTAACAGTGGTACTAAGGGAGATGTAATGTTTCCCCTAGGGTGCTGTTCTCTAAATGAATAGAAGCTTGCTTTGTTTTATTGTCATGATTAGAAAAGTAGGAAGACTAATTATGGTACAGATCAGCTGCAGCCTCAGGCCAGTGTTTCTTGTGGTGGTGGTAGTTTTGACAACTCACGTGGCACCTCCTTGCTTGTGGTGCTGCATCTGTTTGTGAGGCCACACAGTAAATAAATCTGGGAGCCTTTGAGTTAAATATAACCAAGTCACCATTTCTTCCTCTAGCTACTCCCACAAAATACTTGAAGAATGATGTTTACCCAGATCTGTTCCCAATCTGATTCATAACGGTGTCTCAAAAGTTACAGTGGCATGGGAACAAGTAGTGGCTGGTTAAAGATGGACTTGCTTTATTCACCTCTGCTTCTAAAAGAAATGGTTCTCCAACTTGCCTTCTGTTTTCTCAGCATGCAGTGTACTCCTTCATGTGCCTGTAGTCTGGAAAACAACAAACTTCTCCCCAGTTCTTAAAGTAGTGGAAGGATTGCAAGTTCTATTGTTTGGGAGCTGAGCTGATTATTAATTACTTTATCATTCGTGGTCTTACTGTGGTGCTTGCTTGCAACTAAATGCTTCTATTCAGGAACAAGGGCCTAGAAAACATCTACTAGGTTGTGTCACTTCCTTTGTTACTTTGCCAGGTTGTAGGTAGGTATGTTTACAGCTTCTGTATCCACATTGTGCTTGGGGCTTGTTCTCAAGTCCACTGAAATCAAATGGGAATGCTTTCCCTATGTCTCCCTCTTCCCCTTTTCCCCCTCCAATTTCACTCATGGAAAGTGATGGCTTACACTTGTGTTCAGAAATTCTTCTGATGTTATTTGGACCTTTAAACATGGAACTGAAGTGATATGAGAACCTTTTTTCCTGAAATTCTCTGTTTTGTGTATTTACTGATCATTTATAAAAAGCTGCCTTTCCTTGGACCGTGGTAGTTACATTTGTCTTCTGCTAACAGTATTTTATCTCAAGTATTTCCTAGTCGACCTATAGAAAATGATACAAATACTTTGTTAACCAAAGCTTTCTGTGCAAGCTATGGGAGGTTAAGTATTTTTAGACATTGAAAACTCAGTAGTGTTGTAACATGTTATCAAAGAGAAATCGGCCTTTTTTGGCTGTGTGTGGAACAAATGAATACGGATACATACCTTAACTCTTAGAGGTCACAAATTACCACAGCTTGCTTTTCAGATTTTGAAGTTTCAGTAATGACTGTTTTGATGCAATACTACTTCTGATACAGCACTTAAAACTGATGATGGTGGTTAGAGAATGAAAATGGACAATCTGGCTTCATTGTTCATGCCCAAGAGTGTAATACTCAAGAATAAAAGCAAATGTCAGTGTATGTGCTGAACACCAACTTGATACAGATTGTAAAATTATTTTTCCGCTGTAGTAACTTGTGGCATTGGTCCTCTCTGATGTTAGACTGGTTTTACTTGATTGTTTAAAATACAGTACCTTTTAAAAAGTGTGCCTCCCTCTGCTTTACATACTGCAGTATTTGGGTCTGTGTTGCTGTAGTTCCTCATAACTTGGCAAGCTATTAGAAAATGATTGAAGTTTCTCAAAAGGAATTATACTGGTTTAGGTTTAGTGTGTGCCTGTTAAGAAATAACTTTAAAAAAAAAGAGAATGTTTTCTTACTAAAGTTTGGTTTCAGACATTATTTCAATGATCATTTACAAACTTTCATGGATGTCTGATTTGTGGGTGCCTAATAATCAAAGTTTGGCTGTAGGAAGTTATTGCATACTTTCAGGCTGGAGTAACAGGAAAAGGTAGGTTTAAAAATCAGTTGGATTCTAAGACTTTTTATACTTTCAGGCATTGTTGGCCTGCATTAAATACAAGATACAAGATTGGTTTGTAAGGCTTTGAGTGATTTAGACTGGAAGGAATTTGCCAAAATCTGGCTTCAACTGTCTTACAATATTGCTGTTTAGTTCTTTTTGCATAAACTGTTTCAAGGAAATTTGTCCTATAATAAAACCAGTCCTGAAATTACTTTATATTTTGAGAACATCATAAAGCTGTTATTCCAGTAAAGTATGCCTGTGTTGTTATACAGGATTTTAACGACTTAAGTAAGCATTTTGTAGTTTAAACATTCAAGTTTGTAACTCCATCACAAAGAACCATAAGTAACTTGTGGCGTGTCCAATTGAAAGGACTGTATGCCATATGGAACAAGGTTTGTTATTTCAGATGCACAGAAGTCAGACCCTGAGTAAGAGCAGTGTCCAACAGCATCATGTTTGTTCCCACAGAGGCACAGAGACAGTAGCCTTGGTGAATTGAGTTGGCTCTTCCAGAGCACTTTGGATGGCTGCCCATAGAACACTCACAGATGTTTTATAAATCCACACAAAAGCTATATACAGAGGAGAATAATTAGGTTTATTGCCACCTGCATTCTAATCTATTTCTCAGCTAGTTCAGGTTTTAAAATCTCTGTTCAGAATGTGATACACACTGAAAGGCAGATGAGGACATCTCAGAGTGTGCTTTAAATAATAGTGTATCTAACAGTGATGTGTTGGATCTGTCCAATAGGTTGTCATCTATCTGTACTTCCATAAGGCTTTTGACATTGTCCCCCACAATATCCTTCTCACTAAATTGGAGAAATACAGATTTGATGGATAAACTGTTCAGTGGATAAGTAACTGGTTGGATGGTTGCATCCAGAGGCTACTGGTCAACGGCTCAGTGTCCAGATGGAGATCCATGATGAGTGGTGTCCCTCAGGGCTCCATATTGGGACCAGTACTGTTTAATATTGTTGTCAGTGACACAGACAGTGGTATCGAGTGCATCCTTGGTATGTTTACAGATGATGTCAAGCTGAGTGGTGTGGTTGACACGCCTGAGGGATAGGATGCTGTTCAGAGGGACCTGGACAAGCTCAAGAAGTGGGCCCATGTGAACTTCATGAGGTTCAACAAGGCCAAGTGCAAGGTCCTGCACCTGGGTTGGGACAACCCCTAGTATCAATACAGGCTGGGAGATAAAGAGATTGAGAGCAGTCCTGCAGAGAAGGACTTGGGGTTCCTGGTGGATGAAAAGCTAGAGATAAGCCAGCAGTGTGCACTCACAGCCCAGAAAGCCAACCATATCCTGTTTGCATCAAAAGAAGTGTGGCCAGCAGGTTGAGGGAGGTGATTCTCCCCCTTTGCTCTGGTGAGATCCCACCTGGAGTACTGCATTCAGCTCTGGAGCCCTCAGTACAGGAAGGATGTGGACCTGTTGGAGTGAGTCCAGAGGAGGCCACAAAAATTATCAGAGGGATGAAACACCTCCCCTGTGAGGACAGGCTGAGAGAGTTGGGGTTGTTCAGCCTGAAGAAGAGAAGGGACACCCTGTTGTAACCTTTCAGTACTTAAAGGGGCCTTATAAGAAAGGTGGGGACAGACTTTTGAGTAGGGCCTGTTGCAACAGAACAAGGGTTAATGGTTCTAAACTGAAAGAGGGTAGATTTAGACTAGATATAAAGAAGAAATTTTTTACAATGAGGGTGGTAAAACACTGGAACAGGTTGCTCAGAGAGGTGGTAGATGCCCCATCCCTGGAAATGTTCAGTGTCAGGTTGGATGGGGCTCTGAGCAACCTGATCTAGTGAAAGGTGCCTGTGCTTATTGCAGGGGGTTTGGACTACATGGCCTTTAAAGATCCCTTTTTTTTTTTTTTTTTTTTTTTTTTTTTAAGCTGTTGGGGTTGGAGACCAGAAGGTGAAAGGTCTAACTGTTGGGATATCCAAGCTGGTGCAGTCAGTCAGAACCCACGGAGAACGTGGAAGCGCTCT